GGGCTGCTGAATTCGTCATGGTTCAACACATACATGCATTTTGGCATGGTTCCGGTCATTTAGATGGGACGAGGCATTTGTACTGCACGGTAGTTAACCTGATCCGGCCCGACCCCACTCGTGCTCAAGCTCCAGTAGGAGTGCGACGGTAGTTACTTCACCTTGCACGTTAATGAACAACCCGCACAATTCGAGGATTTCGAAATTTCATTTTTTTCCCTCTTTCCTCCCTTCTCGACCTCGTTGCATCCATCTCTGAATTGTGATCGAGCTCAGGCATTTTCATCATGCCTCCAGTTCGCAAAAAGCGTCCCAACGCCAAGTTGGACAATACGAGAGTCCACCCGAGGGCTCTCGAAAAATTACCTGGCCTTACCCAGTCTCCGAAATGCGCGGATATGAGCAAGGTCTCAGCTAAAGAGAAGGAAAAAGCCCTCCTCACCGTCACTGAACCCGATACTGACATGATCGGGTCAGTCGAAATTGTTGAGGGAATCCCTCAGCCACCCTCCGTCCCCCACGGGATTGAAGAATCGTCCAAATCTGTTTGGATTAGGTTGTAGTTGGCAATTCCTAACCTAATTGTGTTAGATTGCAGGCTTCTGTCTCTTGTATTCATGGTTTCGTAATTAAGGTTATTGTTAAGGTTTAGCTTCCGTTATCTCACTGATTACCGAGCCGACAGTATATCAAGGAGGCATGTAGCTAAGGTGGAAGTATCTCACGGTAAACTATATCTGAAGCTGCTACGTATTGTAGTAGCTAAAAGAATACTGCTATTCGGAAACTACATCTCCATCCCAGAACTATAAGATAAATCAGGCTATGCACGCTAGATATAGAATGGCTAGCGGATATGGTGAATATGGGGGTAAATACGTAGATATATAAAGACGTTGTAGCCTCTAAATTTGAGGACAAGTCTCCAACCAAATTATATCGGAATTAATCCTAGCCTCTCATAAAGCAATCTCATGAATCTATTTCCGTGTCTGTGATAACAGACCAATAAACAAAGTCGACGATTAAGTTCAAAGTCGATTAAAATCTCCTCCGACCACATCAAAACCGTCGGAAAACGCTGTACCCAAAGCAGCGCCAAAACCAACGTCGCAGCCACAAGCTGCTACGAAAGCAGAGTGTCTCCTCGAGCTCCGACCAATTGTCGAAGCCGAACAACGTCGCGCCACCGAAACAGCGGCATATCTGGCTCTCTGCTCCGCCGCCATCTCTGGCGTCGAAGCCACCCTCCTCCCTTTGACCAAAGGGTCAAATAGACTATTCATAGACTCCATGAGAGTCTACCTACGCGCCGCCATTGCGCAATACATGGTCACGGGCTCGGTTACTACGCCACCCGTCCTCCCTCCTCGCCCAGTGAACCCGATCCCAAGGGCTCCCGAAGCCAGGAGTAACACAACTCCCGCCGTCCCAGTCCTGCCTGTCAAAAGCACCTGGGCTACGGTGGCCAGATACGGACTGCAACAAAAAGCAGTCCCAACTGTGAAGGCTGTGCCCCGATCTGCGGCCAAAGCCCCAAAGAAAGATGCTCCGAAGGCGAAATTCGACAAACGACTGTTCCTTCGCCTAGAAAAGGAGCACCCGTGGCGCAAGCTTTCACCAAGCGCCATAACGAAACAAATATGGGATGGGCCGCAGTGCCTAGTAGGTGACAATAGCTCCATACACCGTGTCAGAAACGGCTTTGCAATTCTAACAGGTGATGAAAATACAGGGGAAAGGCTCTTAGATGCCGCACCGAGATTTTCGGACTTCAATGCCAAGCTAGGAGAAGCCTCCAACCTTGTCGTATTTCGGATCGCGAATATACCCGCGACCATACAATTAGACGACGGTATTCGTACGGTCGATGCGGATAGGATCTCAACTGAGATCTACCGTAAAACTCGACAGCTTCCCATCTAGGCGTGACCGCATGGGACATGCCGTCCTGGGGCGCCGTATAGAAACTGGCATGCCCTTTTCCACCGGGACTCAGCCCCTCGTGCGGACTTCCGCCTCTTCGACGAGGCTGGTATGGCTACCATTCACAAGCCTCGTCGACACATCGAACAGTGGAAACGCTGTTTGGGCTTCCACGCCACTCGTGGTTGCTCCCGCGCTCCAGCCTGCTGGAACTGTGGGGGACCTCACCGATCAGATTACCGGGACTGCCAAGTCAGACCCAAAAAATCTGGACCGGTGACAAAAGAGCAGCTCGCGTGGATCCGCCACATCGAACAAGGGGAGTTCGCGAAGGTGGCACGAGCTCGAGCAGCAGCCAAAAAGGCCGAGGAGGCGACCATCGCCGCGGCGAAGGATGTCTCTATGGCCGAGGCAACAGGTTTCGGAGCCCTGGAAGCTGAAGAAGAAGTTTGAGGACACAGCAACCTCGACGATGTCCCCATTGGGGTATCTACTAACCAATAGCAGGATACCGGCTGGATAAAAGGTACCTGCTAACTTATCTCTTGCTCTCAGCGGAGAATGAGTAAATTTGTCATTTGGAAGGTATGACGGACGGAATGTGTGAGGAGCGCATTTACTGGGTCCAACATAGAGGAATGTTCTGGTTTTCGGAGTTGTTTTGATTTTCCTGATTTTTCGTTTCAGTTTAATCAGCTGCACTTTTGGTAGCGATTCACGAGGTTGGAACGACTTAGGCTGTAGGAAAAGTTACAGGGAACCCTGCCGGATCCGCCGGTCCTTGACCCAATGCGGAAAACATAGCTTTAGCTTAGTACCAAAAGTAAATAAAAAAATAAATAAACTTATATAGTTTTCCACTAATGATCATTGTTTTAAATCTGATGTTAATTACATTTGCTGCTAACTAGTTATGACTCAATATTCCATTCGAAGTCTTGGCGCGCGAGCGCTCTGTGTTGTCTTGTCTTGTATCTTGTGTGTGTGTTTATTGTGCTACTTGAATCTATGACTATCTAGCACATTGGGCTCCTCACTGACCCAGGCCACACCTTGTACAGTGCTCCTATCCTCTTTTGTTACTTGAAAGATCATTGATATATTGCCCTTGATGAATAGCCATTCAGCTCAGTGTTTATCCGTGGAATTCGGCCGCCTTTTCCACAGAACCTTCTATCCAAAAAAATAAAAATGGTAGCTATGGAAACTGCGTGCGCGGGAAAAAGTCTCAAAAAAACCTGCAGTCCCAATCAGACGAGGCCTAGACACCGGGACCATACGAGGTGCGCATATCCATCTATATCTCCCTTCTTTGTAACAGTCGGGGTCGACTTGATCCAATCCGCCACCTCAGTACCGGGTGCTGGGTACGCTCCGGAAACTCATCGGATGGCTTCTCCTCCATGATCAAGGATTGGTGATGAGTAGGGCTCCGATCCTACCATCTGATCTGATCGTGGTTAGCTTCATGATAGTGGTGATAGGGGAATGTGTTGAGAGATGAAGACGATACAGACGGCAAAAGCGATTGGGATTCCTCGTCGAAGTGAGGACTTTGTTACTCAATCTCGGCTCTGCAGACTCTGCAGACTTTACAGTGAGAGCTGGAGGTTTGTAGGGGACACCACTGACAGGTGTTGAGAATAGTCCCCCGCGAGCGCTCTGTTTGTAAAACTTCTTGCCCGAATTCCAAATTTCATATCCGTGGAGATGGTATCCATTCTGTGCATCATCTTCTAAGCTTGTCCCAATTTCTCTCACCCGTCCCAAAGAACTTCCTCCCATGTTTTTATTATTATTTTTATTAACTCGTTTTAAAGCACTTCCTGAGTCTATGACTATGTAGGACATGCAGGCCCTCTCTACCCACAGGCCATGGATACCCATGCTTCTCATACAGCTCCCCTCAAACAGTGCCACCCCTCACAAGTCCTCATTCGATGATACACTAAGAGGAGCCCTTTGCCCTTCATTATCTCCCCTCTCTAGCCAATAAAACGATGGCCTTTTACGGGTGTATGGTAGCCGGGAAGAATCGCAAAACCCACTGGGTGCGGGGCTCTTCTAGCACCGGTATTAGGACAAATCCGAAGAAAAAGTGACTACGTAATAGCATAATTTCCCATTAAAATACCGTACCCAGTGGTTTTTGAGACTTTTCCCTGCAGCTACACACCCGCACATGGCCATCGTTTCGTTGGCTGGAGAGGGGAGATAATGACGGGATAACGGCTCCTCTTAGTGTGTACTCGAATGAAGACCTGTGGGGGTATTACTGCTGGAAAGAAGTCGTGAAGGAGGCAAAGGAGAGAGTACACTACCCGAGGCATAGATACTCCCGGCCTGTAGGCAGAAAAAACCTACATGTCCTTACATAGTTATAGACTTTTTAGGAAAATAAACACTCACTCATTCTCATTAAAATACATGATCCACTTTTGCATGACCTACAAAATTCCTATGCTATAATTGTTAGTTGGAAGCGTACTTACGCTTACATAAGTCTGGATTCAGTCCAAAAGCGATAGTAGCAACTGCCTCCAGACATGTTAGACTAGTAATAACGATCAGGGACGTCAGGAGAAGTAAGTCTAGATTTTAACGTGATGTCATTGACTCATAGCAGAAATAATCCGTCACTGCTTCTTGCATTTGCTCTCACATTATGACGATTATCATGACATTCACACAAAGTCCTCTCTAACTTTCACATGAACGAATAAAAAGGATGAAGAACAATCATGTCGAGTCTAGAGAATACTAATCCTAGAATCCCCACTTCATACAAATATCGGTAAAACAGGAACTCTTCATCCATCGATAATTCTTCTCTAATTGTTAGAAGATTCCTGGATACCAAGACAGCTGCTGAGACGACTTCATCGTTTTGATAGTGGATGCCGGGGTAAGAGCACCTCATACTAGTCTTTGAGGTAGTCCACGACCCCGCTCGGCTCCACTACTATCTTTTTTTATGAGCAATGACCTCACCACATTCTTTAATCTAATGCTATAAACATTTTGGCCGCATTTTATTTTCAAAACTTGTTATCATTGGATAATTACTTTTAATTATGACCTCTGCTATGGAAAAGCGCCTTTTGGGCAAGACAATCCTCATCACCGGCGCCTCTTCTGGTATCGGTCGTAGTACAGCCCTAGAATTCGCACGCACAGCGCCAAATGATCTACGGTTAATTTTGGCAGCAAGAAGGATCGATAGATTAGAAGAGCTGAAGGCTCAGATTGTTAAAGAGGTCGGTGATGGGGTCAAAGTTTTGTGCACTTCATTAGATGTGAGCAAGCCGGACAATATCAAGAAGTTTGTTCAAAGCCTAGCAAATACCGAATGGGGGGATGTTGATATACTTGTCAACAACTCGTCAGTTAATCTTTGTAATCTTCAAGGAAAATCAGACTAACTAGACGTAGAGGTCTGGTCAAGGGCATCGCCAGATCTCCAGAGATATCTCAAGAAGATATCGATGTAATGTTCAACACTAACGTTACTGGCCTGATAGCAATGACCCAAGCCATCCTTCCCATCTTCCTCGCGAAAGATTGCGGTGATGTGATTAATATTGGGTCAATTGCTGCTCGAGACCCTTATCCTGGTGGATCCATTTACTGTGCCACGAAAGCTGCGGTTCGAAGTTATACGGATTCCTTGCGGAAAGAATTAATAAATTGTCGCGTCCGCGTTATAGAGATTGATCCGGGTCAGGTAGAGACGGAATTTAGCGTTGTGAGGTACTCGGGCGATGTGGCCAAGGCCAATGCTGTCTACGCGTACGTTAAAATCTGAACCTGCGCTCCCCTTACTGCGTTGTGACATGCTTCGCTAATCTCTTTATTTTAGCGGTTGTGATCCACTAACTCCGGACGATATTGCGGAAGTTGTTGTTTTTGCGGCTAGCCGGCGAGAAAACGTTGTACTGGCCGAGTCATTGATCTTCCCCAATCATCAGGTAAGTGAGTTTTAAAAGGTGTCAATGACACTCATCACACTCCTCCCCCGTGCGACTTTTGACAGAACAACTATTGACAGTTCTCTTTTCCGACAGGCTGCAGCGACCTTTATGCATCGAAAACCTGGAGCATGAATGGTAAGGGATATAATTTTCGTAGGCACACAATAGAGCCATCGTAGCTAGGGAATTAATTCAGCAGTGTCTGCTTTAGTAAATCTTTTGATTCTTAAAGTTCATGAATTTAAATCAAGGCAAAATCTGACGAGGACACTAGATATTCTCTCCTCTAAGTCAATACGTTGATAGCTTTTCCAAAGCGGTTTGGATTTTGCACCACTAAACATACGAGGAATTCATGCACAAATTGTTCCAGCTAGCCATCGAAAAAGCCCGTAAGCATTTAGTCGGGTAGGCCTTAAGGTCATCAATCACATACGCCTCAACGACTGGTTTATTACGTTCATAACCATCAGAACCGAAGAAAAGTAGTCAAGACTTGAAATCAAATTCGGTAAGCCGTTTCCATCTCAATATTTATTAAACATAAACTAAACCCCATGACGAATGATATGACCATGTATGTTCCATCTTGTCTTCACGATCTGCGCCAACGAATCAAATGTTGACAACTCATGCCAGTAGTTGGAGCGACTCGCATTCCCATCTGACTGGACCTTACGACACAGACTTTCTAAGGACGTGAAACAATGAGTGACCTCGCATTTGTCTCTCTGAACGTTATCGAGAAGCTCATACAAAATTCTACTGTAAATTATCTAAAGCAAAGCTCATATCAATTTCCAGCAAGCATCAAAATTGATATCTTAATGGAAAGATACGAGCTAGCCCTTGCTAGATTTTAAAGGTAAACAGTTTGTCTCGTAGCTAAAGCCGAGGCTACAGCAACAATTCTGCCAGTACCTGTCTATTTAACAGCCAATCAACTTGAATTTTACTACAGTTAAGTTTATCGCGCCATCCCAGGACTAGTCAATGTCTCCATTTCTCTCGGTAACCCTGAATACATAGTGTACAATGGAAATTTGATGAGGTAAAGTGCGCTGTTAGCATAGTCCTGCTACCTACTACAAAAAATTACCACATATTCAGCTATCGAGCTATCGAGCTATTGCACACAACCAATGCTATGCGTGGTAGGACTATTCTCAATACCTGTCAGTATTTATCCCTACGAGTCTCAATCTTTCACAGGAGAGTTTATAGAGCCGATGGTTAGTAGCCCCTTTGCTCTCATTCTGAAGACGATATGGACCGCGAGACTGGTCGGGGCTTGTCCGATTTTTCTTGGCCATCTTATGTATGAAGATTATATCAAACATTTACATTGGCGACGCTTGAAGATGAATAAATAACCTAATCCGCTTGTAACCAGCTTCAATTCATTAGTAATTCCAAAGAATGAGCTTCAAACCCTTGTGACTGAGAGCTCAATATCTCTTTAATGTATATCTATATAGAGTCTGTGCGAACATCTGTATGGAACCTTCCCAGCTCAGGCCGTTAAGTGTTATTAGTATCCCAATATCTATGCAGCTAGATTATGATGTTGCTTTTGGATTGGAGCCAAACCCTGCATACAGAAGATTAACGATGAAGTATTTTACTCTGGAAAAAAGGAGCCCCACTCTTGTTGTCTTGCGTGACCCTCAGTTCCACCTTCAATCAAGGAATGGCAAGTAGGATAAGTTTCTGGTAAAATAATCAAGGCGCAAATGAAACGTCATTTAATGGAAGATGGTGAGTAAGGGAGGTCCAGTATTCAATTTTTCTGCATATGTACAAGGTACTCTAACGATTGAGATAAACGAAGGAAGTTTAAACGCTTATAGTCAAGGTAAGGGGAACCCTTTATTTCGTTTTCGGACGTTTAAATCTGCCTATTAGATATAGTAGCAAAGACATGTTCAATGGATAGGTTGCTGCCTTGTTATCTTCCCGAATGGGGGACTGCTCACAGCGGATCACTAAGCACGTATATTGCAATATTCATGTAGAGAGTTTCCGCCTTGGAATTGGCCTGTTCTAGCCAGCTCGATAGAGAGCATTCGCTGCCAAATCAGAGCCTTCTCCATCCAGTCATATCTATCGTTTAGCCCTGATGATCTGGGCGGTGAAACTAGTCTTGCCTGACTCCGCTCGAGCTAGATTCCGCCGGAAGATAAGGAAGGCTAACTACTAAGTACTCATGCAATCATTGACATGTCACATACTCTTATAAAGAGAGGGAAACATCAGTTTTACGCCCTAGACTGTGAGAAGACTTATAAAACTTCCGGTATTTCCCTACCAGACTGAAGCTATAGTGATCCCCCTAGTTTAGAATCTCGTGGAATTTGAACAGTACTAGGCAGCCCGCCACTCGAATGGCTTCATGCTCGACTGCAAGCGCCTATTATATAGCTTCCTCCCCGTGCGTACTACCCCGCTATGCCAGAATTTAGTATAATATGTATTATGACGTAGCTGTAGGCGGGGCAATTTTCTGAATGTGTCAAAAATTACCGTTGACAAACCTGAGATTGCCTGAGCTCTGGATGTATGATACTAGTATAAGATTTGCACACTGCCCCTCCCCTGGTGTTTTGCATACAATTTTATCACATCTTCAAAACTTTCATTCCCTGACCAGAATTAAATCAATCTGAGCACAATGGCCTCCAACCCTCCAAGCAGTTGCTGCGTGATTGGTGTAAAACATGAGTAAGATTTCAATTACCTTCACCGAATCTCTGCATAATACACGAAGCTGTATATTTTGAATTCAAAACTAACACGCCCTTAGTGGAGAAACAAGGGGCGAAGATATCAAGATTGATACGATTGATGCATATATCTCCGAGCCTACGGGTGACAACATCCATAAAAATACGGCAATCCTTATCATGCCCGATGTTATTGGTATCTGGCAAAACTCTAAACTTATTGCAGACCAATTTGCAGCAAACGGCTATTTTTCGCTACTAATTGATACATTTAACGGCGACCCTATTCCACTAAATCGTCCTGATGGATTCGACTTTAATTCTTGGATGTCTAAAGGCACCGGAGGCAACAATCCACATACTAAGGCCACAGTAGATCCAATTATAGAAAAAGGCATATCATATTTGAAGAATAAAAGTTTTACTAAAATTGGGGGAGTCGGATATTGCTTTGGGGCAAAATATGTAGCAAGGTTTCTATCAGCTGGGAAGGGTCTTGATGCTGGTTTCGTAGCACATCCTTCGTTAGTTTACGCCCCTTTCCTAAATTGATGAAAGATTTCTAATAGTTTTTATCAGCTTTGTCGACGAAGAAGAACTTGCCGCCATTAATGGACCATTTTCAATTGCTGCTGCTGAAGTAGATTCTATATTTCCACAAGATAAGAGGCACAAAAGCGAGGATATTCTCATGAAGACCGGAAAGCCCTTCCAAATTAATCTGTTCAGTGGCGTCTCTCACGGATTCGCTGTGCGTTGCGACCTAAGCGTCAAAATTGAAAAGTTCTCAAAAGAGATGGCTTTCTTACAAGCCGTTAATTGGTTTGACGAATATTTGTGTTGATTTCTTTGTATTTCATAGATATTAATGTGAATTTATCGAGATATTTCAACGCAATCACAGAAAGTCCAGTTAAAAACAAGCTTGACCTTCAGTATATCTCAATTTATTACTCACGATCCAGCTATAATCTCACTTGGCCATAAATTATCAATCAGTTTCTAGGGAATTGAAGCCATTGATTTGACTACTTAATCAAGTAAACTGACGCAAAAGCCCCTGGATTTTATTTCTACTCATGCGCGATAGACTATTGACAGCCCCCGGATTCTGTTGGGAGCTTAACACTAGTCAAGTTTGGCTGGATCAAGTTGGTTAACCCACACGGAACAATAGTTCTTATCCCGCATAAATAACCAGTCCACAACAGACGTCACCCGTGCGTCCGATGTGCTAAGTCTGTTAGCTCAGAGATTCTATTTAGATACGACGATGAGCAATCTCTTCTTGACCATTATCCAACACGCTCCTATGCCCAAATATTTAACTGTCTCGCTTACTCCCTTTGTCCCCGGCTTAACCTCACGTCGATATCCACATAACTTTTATAGGGACAGTTTTCGTTTGGGAAACTTATCTGGCTATTATCTTATACTCCGTTATGCTACACACACAATAAGTCAGTTGATACTTCTAATCTTCAAAGCAATTCAGGACCCAAACCTCGGAGTTTGCTGTATTGCTAACATACCTCGGATCCCGGTGCTTAAAAATCTGATGGGGTCCCAATACATCAAAGTTAAAGCCCCAGGTTTCTTCGAGTATTCTGGTTGATCTCTTGCAGAGTTTTCGATTTAATTTGACGACTAAAAATGACAGAGACTTGTTTGCAGGCCAAAAAAAAGTCCCGTGCACGATTCGAGACTTTTATATAAATTCATTATTACACATTTAGAACCAAACGTAATTATCGAGCATTTTCTACATTTTTTGCTTGAAGGGAGATCTAAAATCCGTATTAAATTAATCGACCTCGTATGTGAAACCCACTCACAATACATTAGCTAAACAAGAAGTCATCTTAACTTAAATAGAGTCGGCAAGAATTAATTCTTCACCTTCAAGCGATGCCAGTGTTACCGCTCAGTCTACTATGTATATCTGGGATAGCCAAGAATAATTGCATCCGAATCGGGGTCGAAAGTGAGCTCAAGCATTTATAAAATCGATGACTTTTCCATGTTAGGCCTATAATTCTCGCGCGAGTCCCTAAACTAACTCATACCACGAATAAACTCGCCTCGACAACTGAATTAGTAATCGCACCAATTTCAAACGGGATCTTGTCTCATCAAGTCGGAAATCTCCCTCTGTAAAGTCTGGATGCTATGCATATCCGCATGGGGGAAACTAAGTCTTAACACAAAAAACTCGAGTCTTGGTCTATTAAGCACAGTTTTTCTAATGGGGCTTCATATCTTGAGGGAGGACAGGTAGCTGAGATGTGGAGCAAGAGGGAGAAGTGGTCACAAATTGGCATGCTGGAACTCCTATTAGCCGAGTATTTATGACTTGGAAATACTTGTCGGCGCTGCGGCTACGATTCAGATAATCTCCCAGAGCCAAGCTCAGTCAAATTTCGCAATATCGAACAAGTTGGCCCTCGAGGCAATGATTCAAAATACTCCACCATGTCAATCTTTCACTCCCAAAAAGATCGAATCCTACCTAAGCCTCATCAAGTCTACAAGTACGACCTAGTACATCCTCATTCCAATGATCACACCTCTCGTCGACTTTCTCTGGCCTCAGCCGGTCACCAAATACACGCCCACGCCGATATTTATACCCAACGGAGGCAGCAAAGCGTGGCGCACAAATCTGGGAGACAGTTCATTGGGATTGGCGTGAGAGGATTAAGGACAAGTTAACAAGATGATGCAAAGGATGAATACAGTCTCGACGGGCGTGGAATTTTGAATTTTGGCAAGGAGTTTTTACAATTTGAGCTTTGTGCGTGTCAAGGCTACGGTTGCGAGAGTGCAGGCGACACTATAAACATCGCCATGGTTGGATGGTGCGGTGGTACATTGTCTTGGCCGGTCTGCTAAGTAGAGTCTGGATAGCTTGGACACATATCCCACTCGAGACAGTAGATCGCTGGTTCAAATCTGGCAAAACACAACCACATTTCTCGCGGCGCTGGTATGCATGGACGACGAAGGTATGCTTGGATAACCAAAGGTTTTGAAACGTCCCTTTGGTGGGTACTAACAGAGGAGGGTCGACTGTTTGTGTAAGCAAACATACCTCATAGTGGTATTTGCAAATGAAATCCAGAGTATGAGTGTCTCTAACTTCAAAAGAGTCATCCTTCATGTATACATAGCACCGGTCATGTGTCATAGCTAGATAGTTGAATACACATTAAATGATAAAAAAAAAGATTCAGATAATGCCACAAACATTTTAAAGATAGGATGCGCCACGTTTGCTCCGATGAATAATAATGAAGAAATTAACTAGTCAAGGTCTTGTAGAGATTGGTCAGAGGATGGGCAAGAACGAGGAATTCAGGCGAGGCCTTGCGCGTTCGTCCTAGAAATTTTGTTGTTCATGATTATTTCAAGTTCTTTTGGATCGGTCACCTTGATGGTACTGAGTCTGTCGGGATCAAGCACTCATATCATGTCTTGAAGACAGAGGAATCGCGCTAGGCAAGTTCAAGTTTTCAATTTATCCATAACTTATTGAATCAATTAGATGATCCTCTACATATCCCTTTGCATTATTAGTAATACCATGCTAGATGTAAGGAACCGTGACGACAATTTATCGCCAATAATTAATATTCGGCAACGGACAGTCTACCCATATTGACTATGATTTGATTAATCTAACGTATTAGGCTATAGCCCTACACCCAGGAGGCTTGACACGGTTGCGTGCTCTCGGAGGAACTACTGCCACCACTAATGCTGGCTTTATTTGGCAAGGAATTTGCATGATTATAATCAGAAACATCAAGGAAAAATTTTGCAACCCTGACTCAACGCCTTGCATCTAACCAGCTTTCAAATAGCAGTATACCTGCGATACGCGTTTCCAGGATATCTGTTGACCCTTCAGTCTAGCTATGTTCAGCGTTGCATCTTGTCATAGTTAGAAATCGGTAAAATTTCTCCCATCAATTCTCTCCCAACAAACCCCTTCTATTGGGCGCTGTTCATGCGTTGAGCCTCGCCATTGTTGTAGTGCTAACTTGAATACCGAGAAATTCCACGGACGTCTCTCTCGGCCACACACGCATTTACAGACTATTCCTCGGTGATGAAACCTGTCATGATAATTAGTGAAGTTTACGTGACCAGTTCTAGCTCCTAGTAGACAGTGATACGCCCACCTTGGTAGAACTAGCTCTAATGGAGGTTTTCGTTTCATCATTAGTTCCAGGTTTTCGTATTGACTAGGTCTATTCTCTCGCCGTAAAGACTTAACTCTCTCTTCCGCGCGTTCTCTGAGGTAGCAGTTTAGAGCTGCGAAAGTGTAGCTTTGATTACTGTTTGGCCTCGAAATATCAATAGCACTGGAGAGAGCTGGAAGTCATCCCAAAGCTGATTTAGCCAGTTTATCGGCATAGGAGTTCCTGATTATCCCAGAATAGCCCGGAGTCTATTGTATCTTTTCTGGCCCATTTGGCCGTTGAAGAGTTGTGAAGTGGTCGACAGTAGATTGAGAAGACTTGCTTCGACTGTTTCTAGGGCTCTCTGGGCTCCCAGAAGTTCTGCATCGAGCACTTCAGCTCCTAGCCTTATTACTGTTCCGCCTGCATCCATACGGAGACTGATTCACATTAATTGGATCTTCACGACCAAAGCCCTGTCTTTTGACAGCGCCGCAAGGCTTTCCAAGATCAAGTAGTGGGAACTAAACTATTGTTGACGCTGAGTGCCTCATCACTTCTACGTTCACCAAGGCTCCACAGTGCTTAATGGTCAGCGACGGAAGGTGCTGTGGTCCGCCTTCTGGTGGTGTTGTCCGGTATAGTTTGAGTAGCCTGGGCACCTACTCCCCTTGGGAACGAGACGCGCCAGACGATATTTCGCGCGGAGTGGATTCATTGGATAATGGAGGCATGTCTGGATAACTCGGGATTTTTGAGATGTTCCCCTGGGTGGGTATTCACGGATGAGGGTTGACTTGGGGTGGAGAAAAGGCCACCATAACTTCGCAGTGGTACTTGCAAATGAAATCCGAGGCATGAGTACTTCTGTAAATTGAGTCATCCACTCTGCACTTTTTCTCTGATATTGTGTCATAGCTAGATTGGGGGACTATTCTCAACACCTCTCAGCGATGTCCCCTACGAGCTTCCAGCTCTCACTGTCGAGTCTGCAGAGCCGAGATTGAGTAACACCTTTTCATCTTCGAGCTGAGTTAACTCCCCCTCCGTCAAGGATACGCTTCCGATAACTCATAAGGCGGCCAAGACGACGATAATGATGCTGGGAATGAGGAAAGATAATGTGGTACCAACCGCTACAACGGTAGTCAGAGAAGCCCTCGTTATATCACAACATGTGCTAGCCACCGGCCGGCGAACAAAAAGCCCACGAAAGCAAAATAAAAGACCCTTCCGCCCTCAAGAAAAGCAGATTTTGAATCGTCTACAACATCTTCCCTACTGATCTTTACTCCCAAGTCTACTAGCCAGGAGGGCATCTGAAATACATGAGTTACCCGACGACTCCACGTCTATAACGTCTTTTGCATGCTAGGCTAGGCTCCTAAACGACAGTCACTCTCGACCAAGACTTTTCTGATACCCTTTCAAGATCTTCGCTTTGTCCTGCGGCATGAATCAAGAGAGGATTAAGGAGGAGGCTAGGAAGGTTGAGAGACGCTCTCAGGTATTCACAGGTCTGCTGCGCCCGGCTGGCTGGCCTCTTCGTTATAGGAGAGCCCCGTACCCAGTGATTTTTGAGACTTTTCCCTGCAGCTACACACCCGCAAATGGCCATCGTTTCGTTGGCTTGAGAGGGGAGATGATGACGGGATAACGGCTCCTCTTAGTGTGTACTCGAATGAAGACCTGTGGGGGTATTACTGCTGGAAAGAAGTCGTGAAGGAGGCATAGATACTCCCGGCCTGTTGGCAAAAACGACCTACATGTCCTTACACATTCATAGACTTCATAGGACAATAAACTAATACTCATAGCTAGATAGCTACATACGTAATTAAAACCTTATGCGCAAAACAGTGCCTAATGGTGAACTAATTATCAACTGTTAAGGATTTCCCTTGTATTATAATGCACATAAAATGGTGGAATAAGGAGGTATCTGTGTTGAGGGAATAGTTGTACAAAGTGTCATAGCTAGTTAGGCTGCATACACTTCATGAATAAAAAAAATATCAACTAGAATTTACGAGACAAGATGATCAAGGCCAAAGTCTCAATCCTTGAGGCTATATCTGAAATGTGTGCGCTCGTCTCTGACTTCTGCTCTCTACCTATCCAATTTCGCAACTCAGACCACCGAGGGACACAACGTGCCTGAAGTTGAGGCAAGAACGTGACTCGAGCTTTTATCAAATCCTCTCAAAATCGCGAGGAACGAATACAAGCGAGTCCTCATTGAGGCGAGCTTCAATAGCGTTCGAATCAGTATCGTGGTCAAGCAGGCTGGTGAGTTTGAACTGATTCTCGTGCTCAAGTTCACTAGACTCGCTAACCAAAGCGGCTGACCATCGACACGCCTCTGAAGACAGATGCGGAGCAGGACGTTGCTCAGGAATGGCCTAATTGATCAGTCATACCGGTTTGTTCACCTCCCATAACGGCATTAAGCGCACACACTTTTTTATTCGCCGCAGGCGTCCCATGTCGAGACTCTTTCTCCAACCGAACTCCATGGCCGCATCTTGCAGCAATTCTACTACTACTTTTTTTCTCAGTCTAGGAAATCAGAATAAGCTTTATATATTTCGATCGATCGATCAGATCATTAACTCGTCCGTGATACCGGATGGATAGGTCGTGTATCGGCATCTAATCAGATAACAATGTGCGCCGGGATAGAGGATGTTTGTGTTCCCGTAAACACCATCTACAACTGTGATGATAAAATTTCACGCGGCTGGCTATTCAGCCTTGTACCCCCAAATCGTGCCATGACCTCATTATTACGTCACACCAACTCGTAATACTAAATCTACAAAGTGGTCAAGCGGTAACATGCATAGTGACAAACAACAATACCCTCAAAGTGACTGGGTACCGTTAAATATCGACGTCTGCGATTGCAACCTATCGTATCCTTGTGTAACTGATCACACCTCACTTGGACTCATTCTCTGATCTCAAAAGGCCTTCAAATACACGCCCATGACAAATTAATGCCAGAAGGTGAGCAAAAGTTTGAGAGGCAGATCTGTGGGATAGAGGTGCGAGATATCAGGATAAAAAGGCAATAACGACTCTTGGGATAAAAACCCTCTTGAAAGGGATGAGGTTTCACTTTTTTGGGTGGGGTTTTCACACCAAAGAGCATAGTTCGCCATGGGTCTTCGTTTGCGAGAGTGCCGCCGACAATATGAATACGGTCATGGTTGGGTGATAGAGCGGTATACCGTCAGGAATGGTCCGTCAAGTAGAGTCTGCATAGCATAGATACTTATCCCACTTGAGACAAGAGACCGCTGGTCCGAATGTAGCAAGGCTTAATCACATTTTAGCACTGCTCATGTACAGAAAGACAAAGTCATGCCTGGCTAACCACAGGCTTTAAAAATCTTTTTTGGAAACTTACCGAGGATCGACTGCTCCATGTAAACAGATATGGCTCATAGTGTTATGTGCGAGTCAAATATAAATGTGAGTGTCTCCGGAGCCGGTGCACTTACGACAGTTTAGGGGGATATGCGCAGTAGAGAGTGACGGGAATAGCTCGTTGCTCCATCTATCCTCAACGACCACGTTACTGTGACTGGCTACGCTTATGCTAGTTAGATGGTTTGAAGTTCCACCTGAAATGCTGTGAGCATCGTTCATCTAGCACACGTAGGGGAACCACTGCTTTATTGACACAGGGATATGTCTATGAAGGTCAGCAGGAGTTAGCATCATGTTTAAAATCGCTTCCACTCGGGAGAGGTTAGGTACGCAGAAAAATTCATGCGTCAGCTTGATCTCATCAAACCTTTCAGCATACATAGCATGGGTCGGCTTAAAACATGATGGTTCTCTAACTTTAGCTCTACATTATTGTTTCAATATATGGAATTGATTTCTGCTATAATTCTATCAATTAGGCACCAAGTCAAGAGAAATTGGGAACTACTCTCCACAAGAATTCTAGACTTTCATTTTTACATTTTGTACCCTCCAGTGATACATTATACATTTAAATGGCCCTAGAAAGCGTATCTAAGAAACTATCGTACCTAGATAGATGTTGTCTTACTAAGTCTTCCCGGAATTTTGCCATTATTTCAGGGAGTGGCAGCTGACCTCGCGTGAAATTTTAAATGACACGGTCAGTCAATACCAAAATTCAAGTCAAAGGACAGATTAACAGTTTGAGTCAATTCTTATCTTCAATAAATTTGCATTGGAAATTCTCAGAATCCTTTTTGGAAGGTATTCTAAAATTTTTCTACTTTTACCCATCCTAACGCCTACAAAATATATAAGCCTAGGAATACTTGTGTATACTTTAGCAATAAATCGAATCTCTACGCCCCCATGACAAGAGAAAGCAGAGCCATACGTATATATAGACCATATCTCATCTATAAAAAGTTAGCATTATGAGACTAGGGAGACCATGAAAATTCACCTGTCTAAAGTACGCTGCCCGTAAATCAAAATCAACTTCCTCCCCAATTTCATTATTTCTTGGTAGCGGGTGCATCACGATAGTTGAGATTTTAGCGTGTTTTAGGGCCTTGTTATCGATCGTGTAGCTGTTCTCAAGCTGTTTATACTCGGCAAGGTCATCAAATCTCTCCTTCTGTATTCTAGTGCAGTACAAAACATCGCTTTGAGCAATCACATCTGCTGTCAGCTCAGTAGTCTCCGTTATAAATTGACCAGGCTTTGATTTTATCAATCCCAATATTTCAGAAGGCAAAGCGAGTGATCTGGGAGACACCAATTGAATCTTCACATCGTAATGCTGAAGAAGCTTGACGAGCGAGTGAACTGTACGACCATACTTCAAATCTCCAATAAAAGTTATCGTCAGACCAGTAACAGTGCCAAGCTCTTCTCGTATTGTAAAGAGGTCCAAAAAGGCCTGCGTCGGATGTTCTTTGCTACCATTTCCTCCATTTATGATGGGTACGGGAGAAAACTTGGCTGCTGTAGCTGCACTGCTTTCTTCGGGGTGTCTAAGAACAATTGCATCACCATAACATCCCAAAGTTCGGATGGTGTCAGCCAAAGATTCACCTTTTAAAGTACTCGAATAAGAAGTAGCAATAGCAACAGTTCTTCCGCCGAGACGTTGCATAGCAACATCGAATGAAGCCGATGTCCGTGTTGATGGCTCGTAAAAGAGGGTACAAAGAACACGCCCTTTCAGAGTAGATAAAACCCCTTCTCGCTGAACACCAAGGCGCATCTCTTGCGCGACAGTAAATAAATTATGTAGATCCTGGCGGCTGATTTTGTCGACTGAAAGTATATGTTGGTTTTTAAATGTCGATTTTGAGCTCAACAAAGGAACAACCTGAGACTTCGTCGGACTAGATATAGGATGTTTCAATTGAGCCTCATTTAACTGAGTGCGAACTAAATGAATATCCATCAGATGCGAAGACATATCTTTGCCGTCAGAATGACTGTCGCATAAGGCCCCATCGAGACAGACGGTTTTCTCTTGAAATAATACTCGCTGCACTGCACCACGAACGATTTGACCGGCAAATGGAGACCAAGTAGATACGGATTCTAGAGTGTAGGGGCGATCAATTACAATTTCGACAGATGCTCCGGCCTGTTCATGGAGTTCAAAGATCTTTTTAGGGTTGTCATGCAGTCGTGTTTTGATGTCGTCTATGGTAAGCTTTCCCTCAGCAACAGCAGATAGCAGTATTGGTATTGTATCAAGGATTCCAGTAGTTGGAGCTGAAGCTTGTTGAGTCAACTGAGCTAGTTTGTAAGGCACGCTACCGATAGAAAATATATCAATGACACTCAAATTCTTCCATAGTGCATCCTTATCCTCTTCAGTAGGTAAGAATTTGGCCTCAGCAAAGTTCTTCTGCGATAAGAAGAGCGAGTATACCGCTACGTCGCAAGTAACTTGCAGTCCTTTTTCTTTCGAAAGTGCAATGAGTTTAATGTCATCTTTGGTCGTAACATTAGTGACATGTATTTTACGACCATGTAAACTAGCAAGAAGTAGTATAGAGGCAAGGTCCGTCATTTTTGCATCAGTAACAATTGGTTTATAGTCGGGCCAGGCATCAAAATGAGCCGTCACTGCTGCAACTTTGCTGATATTATCTGATAAGTGGTTAAATGGAATAAAAAGGGACCCAACTTCTCCTGCTACCTGACTAATCTGATTGGCATTCGTAGATGTGGCAGCAATTGAGATATTGTAGTCGCAGCTAGCTCCACGCACAGTATTCGACCGAGATATTTTTAAAGTACGCGAATCTATTACGGAGCTTTCCAAACCGAGAGGCATGATTCGTATCATACTGAAACCCGCGGAAATTGATGCCCTTGTAACATCGTCAAAATCCCGACTCTCAGGGGTAGCGATACCAGGCACAAATGCAGCGATATTTATCAGACCAGGCAGAACGATGGTCCTATGGCTAGCCTGTGCATCGATATTGCTTATCTCGAGGTTGAACTGACGACTTATTGCTTCAACAAGGATCTTCGCATTCTTAACATTAGTGACTAGTGGGGTTTGATAATCAACAGCCATTCTTCGGCTCTGGTATCCTTTGCTCATATAATTTGCAGGCCGACGATATTTATTGCTTGATGGTAGGTTAATATATAGATCGATCATATTTTTGACTAGATGTTGAGTAAGAGAAAATTCAGACTTTTGGTCATCATTGTCTGTTCCGAGAATTTCTAGGTACTGAACGCTCACGTTATTTTCCTGAAGATAATCTGCTGTTCCAGCTGTGGCGAAGAGTTTATATCCTAGGCTTTCAAGCTTGATGATGGATGGGAGCATTTCTTTCTTATCTTTATATGAGCCGATAGATAGCAGGATATTGCGGTTAGGTAACTTGAAGCCAGTTGAAATCAAGCCTTTAATGTAAGCTTCGTATTTATCTACACCAAAACATGCAACTTCTCCAGTAGAGGCCATCTCAACACCGAGAACAGGATCGGCGCCAGACAAACGAGAGAAACTAAACTGAGGAACCTTGACACCAACACATTTTGGTGGAAGATGAGTGGGTGGATATTCGACAAATGGAATATTCATAATTGCTTTAGTCGCCATCTCAATAAGGTCTACGCCCATAACCTTGGACACAAATGGAAAAGATCGCGAAGCACGCACATTACACTCAATAACCTTGATATCATTATCCTTTGCAATGAACTGAATATTAAAGGGACCAGTAACATTCAAAGCGTTGGCGATTTTGCGGGTGGCTTGCTCAATTCGTCGAATTGTTGTAGCTTCAAGGTCCTGTGGTGGTAGAATCAAAGTAGCGTCACCGGAGTGAACACCGGCATTTTCTACATGCTCTGAAATGAAGTGTCCGACCATCTTCCCATCCTTGGCAACGGCATCCATCTCAATTTCTTTTGCATTCTCAATATACTTTGTAATAACAACTGGATGGTCTCGAGAAACTTCAGCCGCTTGATTAAGATAAGCTTCTAGATCTGCTTCCGAGTATACCGTGTTCATGGCTGCGCCAGAGAGGACGTATGAGGGTCGAACTAAAACGGGATATTGTACTTTTTTGCAGAACTTTTTGGCATCGTCAAAGCTTGTCAATTCCTTCCAGGTAGGCTGATCTACTCCAATGATGTCAAGCATACGTGAGAATTTATACCTATTCTCAGCTGTGTCAATCATTTCAGGAGATGTCCCCAGAATCTTGACATTTAAGCGATGCAGGCCAAGCGCAATATTATTAGGCGTTTGACCGCCCATAGCAACAAGCACACCGCTTGCATTTTCGATTTGATAGATATCCAGTATGCTTTCTTCGTTTATGTTCTCAAAATAGAGCCTATCTGCCTCATCATAGTCGGTGCTGACAGTTTCGGGATTATAGTTAACCATGACTGTTTTGTATCCTGACTCTCGGAGGGTTCTAGTGGCACGGACTGAGCACCAATCAAATTCTACGGATGATCCTATACGATAGACGCCAGATCCCAGTACCATGACGCCATGATCAGTGAAAGAAATATCACTCTCGGAACCATTGTATGTGAGATAGAGGTAATTTGTGTATGCTGGAAATTCAGCTGCCACCGTATCTATTCGCTTTACAACAGGGACAATACCTGCCTCAATCCTCAATCGGCGAACAGCCATATCGTTTGATGTCCAAAACTTGGCTAGTTGCTTGTCACAAAATCCAAGCTGTTTAGCCTGGCGAAGAAGACCAGTAGAAACTGTAGCTGCGGTGTAGTTTGATAAAAGTTTTCCGAAATCGCTCAAACTTTTAAGCCTACTCAAAAACCATTTATCAATTTTAGTCATTTCCCAAATTGTATCTACCGAGTATCCAGAGTGCATGGCATTAGCAATTGCAAAAAGGCGTTGGTCTGATGGTGTTTGAAGCTCATCGTCAATAGACATGAGTGCTTTAGTCTCGTTGAAGCCTAGGTTGTGAAAGTCAATAGCCCGAATTGCTTTCTGGATGGCTTCCTCAAAAGTTCGGCCGATACTCATTACCTCTCCTACACTTTTCATAGCTGAACCGAGCTGGGTAGAGACTCTAGTAAATTTTTTTAAATCCCATCGAGGCATTTTAACTACCACGTAATCTAGAGAAGGTTCAAAACATGCACACGTACTTTTAGTTACGGAATTTGAAATTTGGTGAAGTGGTATACCAAGTCCCAATTTAGCTGCAATAAATGCTAATGGATATCCTGTAGCTTTTGATGCAAGTGCAGATGACCGAGAAAGGCGGGCATTCACCTCGATAATGCAGTATTCCTGCGAAAATGGGTTCAGGGCGTACTGGATATTGCACTCACCAATAACCCCAAGATGACGAATAACGTTGACGGCAGTAGTTCTGAGCATATTATAATCTTTGTCGGAGAGAGTCTGAGATGGCGCAACCACGATTGAATCTCCTGTGTGAATCCCTAATGGATCAAAATTTTCCATGTTGCAGACAGTAATACAATTATCCTGTGCATCTCGAACCACCTCATATTCAATTTCTTTCCATCCCTTCATGCTCCTTTCTATAAGAACTTGTGGACTAGCGGCAAAGGCTTTATTGCAAAGTGCAACCAGCTCGCTTTCATTGTTTGCAAATCCACTACCCATGCCGCCCAATGCATATGCGGCGCGGATTATGACTGGATATCCGATATCTTTGACAGCTTGCATTGCTTCATCAACAGAACTAGCGGACGCAGATTTAGCACATTTTTCGCCTATCGATTCCATACTCCGGGCAAATAATTCACGATCTTCGGTAGTGATTATGGTATCAATTGGAGTCCCTAGCACCTTGACACCTAGCTGTTGAAACTCATCTTTGAGCTGAATACCAACCTGAAGTGCTGTCTGGCCGCCAAAGGTGACATATATTGCGTCAGGACGTTCGCGGATTATGACTTTCCTAACAAACTCCGCGGTAACAGGAAGAAAGTAAACTTTATCGGCCAATCCTTTTGAAGTTTGAATAGTTGCAATATTGGGGTTGATTAGGACTGTGTATATTCCTTCTTCTTTTAGAGCCTTGATGGCTTGACTACCTGAGTAATCAAACTCCCCGGCTTGGCCTATACTAAGCCCTCCACTTCCAAGAACTAGCACTTTTTTCACGTTCACCTTTGTATAGGTGCTTACAATCTCAGAGGAGACAGTCCCTGGAAAATGTACCGGGCTTGAGAGTAATTTTTGATCGAAACTTGAACGAGTAACGGTTTCTACAAAAACATCAAAGAGAAATTCTGTGTCTTTTGGCCCGGGATTACTCTCGGGATGAAACTGGACACTGAAATGTGGCTTATTAACATGAAAAATACCCTCATTTGTTCCATCATTAGCGTTAACAAAGAGTTCGGACCATTCAATGGGCAAACTTGACGAGTCGACTTCATAACCATGATTCTGAGAGGTTATGTAACACTTTCCACTCAACAAACTTTTGCAGGGTATGTTTTGACCACGATTTCCAAACTTCATTTTAATTGTACTCGCTCCGGCTGCTCTAGCCAGGAGCTGATGGCCCAAACAAATACCAAATATTGGTATTTTGTTACTTTTTAGGGAAATGGTTATATTTTTAATGGTTGTCTCCATTATCGCGGGATTGCCAGGACCATTGGAAATAAATAATCCATCATAATTCTCACAGAGCGCTGGAAAGTTGTAGTCCCATGGGCATACTAGGACCTCGACACCTCGGCGAAGTAGACACCGAAGCTGATTATACTTTAAGCCGACATCTAGACATAAAATTCTCAAGGGTCTCCCTGAGGGGTGTTTGAGTAGTTTCGCGAGTGGAGTATATAATTTTGGTTCACGTATCGAGACTACAATATCAGCAAGGGCGCTTAGAAGTCAGGTTGGAAGCTCCCACCCTCGGCAACAAGATTCTTCTCATTGGGATTTACCCAATCAATTTTCTCAAAAGCAGTGCTGAGGTTATGTTCACTCGATGTTTCGCATGAGCTACCGAGGATTGGATGAGATGATTGTTTGTTTTGGATTAATAATCGACCCAACATGCTTCCTTCATCCCTTATTCGCTTCGTAAGGGCTCGCGTATCAACGCCATAAATTGCTGGTACATTTTGTTCCCTGAGCCATGTTCCTAACGATGATGTAGCTAGAAAGTGCGAGTAGTCTTCACCTGAATATGATGCCGTTATAAGTCCAGCGATATGAATCTCTGAAGACTCGAAATGAGCAGGGAGATCTTTCAGGAGATCATCCATTGTTTCCCTTGATGGAACTCCATAGTTTCCGACGAGAGGAAATGTGATAACCAGAATTTGTCCTCGGTAGGATGGATCAGTGATTGATTCTGGGTATCCAACCATGCCAGTCTGAAAAACCAGCTCTCCTGCAGCACTCTTCTTTGCGCCAAAACTGTATCCTTGGTAGATAGTGCCATCTTGTAGCTCTAGATTTATTAATCCTTCATCTTTTTGATTAAAATTACCCGCCGTAACTGGTGGATGTAGAGTGCAAGGCATTTCGAGGATGAGGAGAAATATAAGTTGTAAATTTGGTCGTTATTCTGGTTTGAATTCATAAACTTTTAAATCTTGAAAAAATATCCAACAGGATCTCTAAACCTTGGAGGCGGGAAAAAGCGGAAATTGAGGGTATTAGAGATTGCGCAAACCTGTGTCTTATTATAGTAAATTAAATTTTTCGCTATGATTCGCCCTCCAAAGCTAGTCTATAATTTTTGGAATACTATCCGCGAAGACAAATATGCGTATACCGTCACCTTGTGAGAGATATTTGTGAAGGAGAGGCGTTAAAAATAAAAAATACCCCCCGTCGTGGGAGGCGTGGAGGGGCAAAAATTAACACAAATATCTAAAGCTAGATCAGGTCTGGACTAGCGTCATCAGGAACAACCGATTTCACCCAACTAAAAAGCTACTTACCCACATATCCATTGATGGATTCAATTTTGTCCATAAATTGCCGCCGATATCTTCCTTGAATCAGTCACACGCTTTGCGTAATCTTAAATAACTAGCTTGTCTGAGTATCAAACTAGAAAAACTGAAAATAGATCCAAATGAATAATTTTATGCACTGTCTTCGTCTGTAAGCTTCCTTTCCATAGGTTCATGCGATTCATCGTGCTACTATCGATAGCTCGAACAGTCCTCTTGGTGGAATAAATATTGAGTGGCTATCTCGGGTCATGATCATTAATTTAGTAAAAAGTGGTTACAAGCTTTAGTCAACCCCGCCATTCTCGCTAAGTGACAATTAGGACATTAAAACTGGCATCTAGTTAAGCCCTGCGAAAACTAGTCGCTCACGTTTCAGATATTCTTAGTAACATGTGAATGACAAAATAAAAAGTGCTAGCCTTGGTCAATATCAGTATCGTCATTATTTTCCATGAACCTCAAATTACAATCAAGTATTTCAAGTATTATCGTGTACTTACTAACTAGTCTATTCTTGGAGGTGTAGATCCCTCAGTACTTTTACTCCGATGAGAATTTCCAATCGCTTTCGTGGTCTGTATCGACTTCATCTCTTAACACATCTCAACATCACCATTATTATGAAGTCAATCACAATGAGATCAGATGGTGAGGTCGAAGCCCTTCTCACCACCAATCCTTGATCACGGAGGAAAAACCATCCGATGAGTTTCCGGGGCGTACCAGTTGTCACGGGTCCTGGGCCCGTTAAGATACCCCCTGTAGAATAGCTTTCTATTACAAACTCTCCTGCGCATCCCAGAGCGACTCTTGTATATTCATTACTTTAGAGAATCAGAATAGACTTTGATTACTTCGTTCGATTGTACAGATCACGACCCCATTTCGTGACACCGGTACCCTTTGTGTATATTTTTGTTAAGACATTTTCCCGCGCACGCACTTTCCATTGCTACCATTTTTTTTTGGGGTAGAAGGTTCAGTGGAAAAGATAGCTGAGTTCCAAGGATAAATTCTGAGCTGAATGGCTATTCATCACGGGCAATACATCAATGATCTTTCAAGTAACAAAAGAGGATCGGAGTACTGTACAAAGTGCGGACTGGGCCACAGAAGAGCTCAATATGCTAGATAGTCTACGACTCAAGTAGTACAATTAACATACACCTGTCTCTCTCAAAGTGGATTCGTTTTGTCAGAAAATGCTGCTTAGTTAGGTGGTTGATTGAGTGAAAAGTCTTCAAATTCTCCGCACTTCAACTTTACTTACCACACTGTATTACTGCACAACATGATTTAATCTCTACATATCGTATCTCAACCTCTGATATTCACACCCTCGCAACTCGACATCTTCAAACAGCGACACACATTGCGGCAGATAACTGGTTATACCTGCGAAACAAGGCATACTTTGTAATTCTACCGCACTTGACCTAATTTGGCACGGCCCCACTCGTGCTAAAGCCCCACCAGAAGGGTAATAGGTGCTAGCCTGCCGACGCGTTATGCTCTGTCTGTACCGGTGTTTGGGGCACCTGGCAGGAGGGCCAGGGCCCAGTAAGTCTATGCCGGGGTGTTAGGAGCGTCGTGTGTCGGGTAGTTTTTCTAGACTGAGCTAACCGGCCTGTGATCTTGGGAAACGTGTTGCGCGCTGGCACGACGTAAAATAATAAACTAACAAAAAACTACAGACGCTGGACGACGTCATTTCTCGCACAACGAAAGGTGCAAGTCCGATAGCCCTGTGCGTTCTATTTACTGTTATTAAATGTACTCACGGTAGACTCTGAACTAAAAGCACGCCTGTAATCTATATCACAGAATGCCTGGTAAGTTCGTTGAGTCTGATGTAAGTTGATTGATTCATGTCCAACCGAAAACTCCTAATGACGCTAACTCTAATTAAGATTACATAATAGCGCCTATAACATAATAATGACTTCCAACATAATAACACGCGACCAGGACACACAGCCCGGAAGGGTAACTGGGCTGAAAGAGCTGGTGTGTGGGGTCCCGCAGGGATCGCCGATATCGCCACTTCTCTTCCTTTTGTACATGGCAGAGCCTCTGCGAAGCGGCAATGCAGAAATGAGGTTCAGTTACGCTGACGACGTCTGGATACTTGGATTCGTGCGCAGCATAGCCGAGTCAGCCGCTTCTGTGAAGAAGGAAGTGGATCACCTTCTGGAGTGACCGAGTACCGACGCAGTCTCCTTCGATACAAACAAGTCGGAGGTAGTCCAGTTTCACGGACAGAAACGCGAGGAGCCAGTGGGCATTCGTGTGAACGGCGTTGTTATCGAGCCAGCAGACCAAATACGCTGGCTCGGAGTACACCTAGACCCGCGGCTGGACTTCAAACATCACGACGTGGTGTGGCAAAGCTCTGAAGGTAGCTCAGCAAATGCGCCGCTTCAACTTAGCGTACCGAGGAGCCGCTCCTGCAGTACTGGTTTTAGTAGTGGACATGTGCATTGTCCCTATAGCAACCTTTGGAGCAGATGTTTGGTGGCCCGGCCTCAAACGCCCGATTCAATAGGGGATCAGCACACTTCAAACCAGCATTCTCTGCGAGATGATTGACAAGGCAATCTTAACGGGACTGCGCGCTGCCCTCTCGGTAACGAGAACGACACCGAATCTTGCTCTCCACCGCGAAGGAGGTATCCCAACAGAGAATATCATTCTGGAAAGGAACTGACTACGGCTTTCGGCTCGGCTGCACTCACTAGACAATCGTCACCCGCTCCGGACTCGCGCCGCTTTGCGTCCAGACGATGGAACACGGAAGTACAAGAAATTTTCTCGGGCACCCAAGAACCCAGAGGTCCACATGTCACGAGTACAGCGGGCTTACCGAGAACTCCCGGATGCGGAAGATGCTGAGCCTTTGCCACCCCCAAGCTTTCTTTCGAGTTTCAACTCAAGGATAGAGGAGGAAGAGAAGGCAACTCGGTTCATTAATAGTGTGCCGGCATCAGATATTTGCGCCTACCCGGATGGATCGTCGGAGGGGAATGGTCGCTCAGCATGGGGGTTCGTCTTGAAGAGGGATGGAAAAACTCTGTTGAAGGGATATGGCATCAAGCATGGTGGTGAAGTGCTTGATGCGGAAATACTAGTGTCGAGCTAGTCCGAGGAGACCCTTTAGTAGTTCTCGTTCACGTCTTTAGAGGGAGTGCGACGTTTTGTTAGATTTCCATATCTTGTCCGCATCCTATCTTGTCTACGATCCATCTTACATATCTTGTTTATATCTTGTCCCGTGACTTCTCTCTTGTATACTCTCTCGCCCCGTAACAACCAAGGGCTTATACTCGTATCCAAGCAGAAGATAGAGGTCGGCAAGAGAGGGCCCAGGCGCCCGCGAAAATATCCCCTGGCCACGGGATCACCACCTCCACTAACAACACCATCGGAGTCGAGCTTCAGATGACAGTCATCTCTTTTCCGCACGCGAGGGCAGGGAAAAGATGGCGAGGTCACCTACAATTTTAGCTAGTCCTGTCTCGAGTCAATGGCATATTGCGCTTCTTGTAGGTTAACGAAGAACCTGTTACAGGCTTTTTTTTTTTTGCATCAGATTTTAATTGCGCATGCAGCTTTCTAGCTATGACACATTATCAAAGAAGAGTACAGAATAGATGATTCAACGTAGAGGAAGAGCACTCATGCCTCAGATTTCATTTGCAAGTACCACTGCGAAGTTATGGCGGCCTTTTCTTCACCCCAAGTCAACCCTCATCGGCGAAAACCCACCCAGGGGAACGTCTCAAAAACCCTGAGTTATCCAGACATGCCTCCGTCATCCATCAGCTTTTCTCCGCGCGAAATATGGTCTGAGGCGTCTCATTCCCAAGTGGAGTAGGTGCCCAGGCTACTCAAACCATACCAGATGTCAGGCGCAGGTTCACTAGGCGCAAGACTCGAGACGTCGGAGAGGGCGTAGCGTACAATGTACTGAGGAAGGACGCCTCGTGGGAACGCGGAGGGCTTTCTAGAGAAGTGGTAATTGGGAAAGCGGGGAGTCGTTCTAGATAAAGGGGCCGGAGGTGACGGTAGGTCACTATAGTTGGCAGAGGACGAGAGTGAGACGTGATTAGAATAATATAACTATTCCTAAAGACAGAAAACAAAGCGTGAAGATCTCAGTCTCGGAAATGGAAACTACATAGGTGCCCTCGCTAAGCAATAAAGACTAGTGGGATTAAACAAGGGACCCATAAATCCTGCCTGAGGCATTTCTCAAGAATCCTTACACCAGAGAACACCACAAGGAGGCGGACCACAACACCTTCCATCGTTGGCTTGTGTTTATAGTGTCAGTTGCACTCTCGCAAGCGAAGTCTTGACGCGCACAAAGCTCATTTCGTAAAACTCTTAGTGTTATATTAACTAAGCTATATGGGAGCAGGACGATGGATACTCTTGGGGAAGTTATGCTCACAGTAGGTCTCTATAGTCGCTGTCGCGTGTGTTCTCGTGATATGTAAGACTTGACTCTATATTCTCGTATAAAGGAAACTTAGTTTCAATGAATGAATGGAGGTTGA